AAAGCAAGAAGGTATTGGAACCGGAGAATGAACGTTTTGCGGTGCTGCAAATGCTTGCATTTGATGCGGTACTTGGATTGTTTTGCCACGAGTTACCGGCATGCAATGCGCGAAAGTCACGTGGTCTGTCAATCTCTATAGACTGATTATCCATGATCAGAGAGCACAAGTACCTTTTTAGCGTAACATCATGTGAGCGTACAGAGCACAAAGCTGCTGCATCTGTACCTGACAAATGTCTGCACTCCGTTTACACCTCCCATTTGTTATAGACTTTGACACAGCAACAAAACAAACATTTGGGAATTCAGCCTTTGTTGGTGTATGGATATAGAAAAACAAAATAAGAAATAAATAAATAGTCAAAGATTTACATAAAAATAAAATGGCAAGAAAGCACGCTGATGGACCACTTTTAAAAAAGGATGTTGAGAACTATTTGATATAAGAAGCTAAAATTTCACAGGAATTATTATATGCATTCAAATTTTGTACCATGAAATGAATGCAAATGACCAACAGCTGAGCAGAAGGCCTGGCTCATAGGGGATCATAGGGGATCACCTGATTATTGGGGGTATCTCTCTAATATTATAGGGTGATTATCTTACAACATACACTGCCTTGAGTTAACTTAAGTTATGAACTAGTGCTATAAAAATAAAACTGAATGGAATTGTATTGAAATGAAGCTATAAAGTAAACAATAACCACAAAAAATTGTTTCTTAACTTGACCACACATGTATAATTATATTACACATGTAATATTTTTTGCGGTCCATATGTGCCGACCACAAAAGTAGGGAACGGTGAAAACATACTGTTCTATTTCTTTTTCTATTTCTATTTCTTTTTGTATTTACATAAAATACATGGTCTATGTGTTTAGTACTAATAGGCCTTTATTCTTCTTTAACAGCACCCTCTGAGAAAAGAAGACCGTTTTAAAGCAGCACTCAGCCACTGTGTGAATCCTGAATTATATATAGAGAGGATTCATAACTGGAGGAATGATGAGAATTTCTATCATGACCAAATTAGCAGAACATCGATGGAGAAAATGGAGAAAAGTGTTAGGTTAGGTAGGAGAAAACACACCAGCTGAGACCCTAAAAGTTTTTCATGCTAAATGCCATCACCGTGTAGTGGCGAATGCGGAAATGTCGGAGGCCCTGGGTGTCAAAGGCACCTGCCAATACCCCTCAAGAAGGTCCAGTTTGGATATGTATTTGGCAGGACCTATATCGTCAATGCAATCCTCCATATGAGGAAGTGGAAAAGAATCAGAGACTTTCACTGCATTTACCTTCCAGTAGTCGGTGTAGAAACGAGGGGTGCCATCAGACTTGGGAGTAAGCAAACACGGGGAACTCCAAGGGCTGTGGCTGGGTCGTGCCAAACCATTCTCTACTCAATAACTGACTTCCTTCTTCATCATTTCACGCTTTCCCATGGGGCAGCGGTATGCATGCTGTTTGATTGGGGTTGTGTCGCCAACATTAATATCATGTTCACAGACACTAGTATGTGAGGGCACATCCCCAAAGAGAGAAGGGTAAGAGTTCAGTAGGCCAAGCACATCTCTGC